AAGATATTGAGAGCGACCTTAGAACACTGGGTCTGAGAAACTGGAAGGAAAGGGCGAGAAATAGGCAAGCTATAATTCAGGAAGCCAAGGCCCATTCTGGGCTGTAGAGCTGCATGGCAAAGTAAAGTAAAAACAATAATTACTTTGGGAAAAAAAAACATAGACATACTATATGCTACATATATGAAATGGAGCTAAAGTGATTCTTGAAGTCTTATCAAGTTTAATTCCAGGAACAATAATTCATTAAGAGATAATTTTTAATTTTTTTCATGAAACATGGTCACATTTTACCATTTTGGGGATAGGGAGGCTTCAGTCTGCAAGGACCCCCTCTTACTCAGTAGATCCTGTGTTCTTAATGATTATGGTGGAATGTTAAATAAACAGGTCAGAAATTAAGCCAATCCTGATTAACTTGAGAAATATTTTATTTGAACATATTACATTAAACCAAATAAGATCAATAGGTAACTATACAACACTACATGTTCACATTCATACTATTTATACAAAATGAATAACAGTAGAACCTTATAAATTTATTTTGAGCTCAACCATAAATACATTTTTACAATATTTACACTTAATCTAGGAGATCCTAATGGTTTTAGACCAATTGTTACTGGTACTAAAAGCCAATGAAGTCGGATAATAGTCCATTACACTGACACTTGGCCCTAAAATTAAAAAAATATAACAGTGATTTATTTATACTGTCTATTATGTCCTTAAAAATCCTACAAATTTTTTTGTATCAGGTGTAGATTTAGTGGGAGGAAGGGGGATGGTTAAAAACTCAAATGTTTTATCAGTTTTTCACATATATCTAAAAAAATACAGGATTTTGTAACAAATATTTCCTATGAATTTTAAGTATTTACTACAGTGATTATATGATTTTTTTTTTTCTAAACATGGTAGTTCTTTAGATATGACTAATTATTCTTATGATTTGATATTACCTCAAAATAATGAAAATATGGTGGTTATAAAAACACAATTGGTTTTGAAAAGACTTAATACTGTATTTTAATTTTAAAAGAGGTAAATGAAAAAAATGTGTATTGTAAAAAAAAAGTTTTATTCCATTAACATCTTGGATTTGTTATATGTTATAATATTAATATTTATTCTATATTATAGATATGTGGACTTGAAAAATTATAACAATTTATATTATATTTTTTTCCATTGTTCCACTAAAAAAAAAATCTTTTGACTTGTTCCATGAAGCTATTGAACAGACAACCATAACACATTAAAAGCGCAATTAGAAATAGCAGACAGAAGTTTCACTTGCATACCTTCTAATTGTAGAATTGTAACAAACCATTACATATAATACAGAACAATTATGTAATATTTTTTATTAATCTTTTTTTGTTGCATACATTATATAGGAAGAGGTTGGGTTTCAGTAGTGAGTTTAATATTTGACGTGCGGGCCTAGTGATTTTATTTTTGACTGGTGATGTGCACAGCACTAAAAGTTCAATAACAGATTACAGAGTAGAAGCTACTGAGTGGTAACATATTCTAATAATAAATAATGTTAGTAAACTGTTAATTTCCTATCCATCATACTGCTTGCTTACTGTCTTTACTTATAATACTGTAAATTATTAAGATAAGAGAAGGAACTTCTAGTTAACTTGACAAATCTAAAAATTTTCCTCATTCTCGTTTAAAAGTAATAAACCACCTAATTAATTACTGCTTTTTCAAGTATATTCCAAGTTAAGGTAGAATAAAATTAATGTAAAAATGAAGGAGGAAATTTTCCAGGGATCAGCCAAAAAATAGAATCAAATAGTGGCAGATATTTATTAAATACTAGAGTTTTGACTCACATTGTAGGTCTTAATCATAACTGAAAAAAGAAGACGAGGAGGAACTACATTGGTAAACTTTAATTTTAGATCAAGATATTATCTCTACTTTTCAAGTGCCACGAAAGCAGACAATTTCAGACAACTAATTTTCAAAAATTTCCTGGTACTGGATTCCCACACTACTAAGTGAGACGCTCCCATGTGCACCAGGACAGGAACTCGTAATTATTTTACTCAAATTAGTTTTTGATGCGGGTTGTCGGGCAGTGGTGTGCACACGTTTTAGCCCACTCGACCACCCCACCCCTCAGGATGAGACCTCTGTTGAGTATCCAGCCAAATGTCTCCAAATGGACATTTATACATTCTTTGTTAATGAAGTGGAAAGACCTCTTTAATTTATGAGAAAATATAAGTAAGAATCATGTTTATTTTGATATTTAATATAATTAATATTAATGACATAATATAATATAACTATTGTGGATAAGCAAGTTCAGATCACTCAATCATTATCAGGCATAATCATGAATAACACTTTCAAATGAAAGTGATTCAGTGTTAGTTAACGCCTACCCACCAAATCACTTCTACATAACCATAATTGAGAAACACGCTTTTAAATGAAAAGTGATTCTGTAAATGTTATTAATTACAGCGACTATCCTCTTTGCTATTATTTCACCCTTTCACTGACATTCAAAAGTGAAAGAGTGATTTCAATAACTGTGTTTTGTTGTGAACAAGTTATCATTGATGAATGGTATTTTTTAAAAGAACATCATATTCTATAGTGAAGTTATTTCCACCCCATGTATGGTTTGTAGCTCACAAATTCTATTAATAAATTCTAATTTTCGAAACCTCACATAAATTTTTACTTAGATATATCTATACATTGCTCTGAACAAAGTGAAATATAGAAAGAGAATACTTTTTATTAACATATTTTAATGAAGAAAAAAAACTAATAGCAATTTAAAAATGCACATTTTTTTCCGCTTACTCCTGCCTCGAAATTTCTGTCATACAAAAAGGGGAGAAGAGAGTTGGTTTGTTCTAGATGTACAACCAAACCAATTTTAAACAAAATGGAAAGGTCGAGATTCATTCCATGGATTTTAACCTGTCCATGTTGGATTCCACCCAGCATCACTAGACTCAGTTAAAGTTAACGCTCATCATGAACCAAAAATTTAAAAACAAACTGAAAAAAGTATTATAACACACAAGTAATTTTTGAGAGATACGTGAAAAACTGATAAGGTAGGCTCCTTTCTGTTAACATTCTTGCAATCATACTGATGCTAATACTTTCTTTGCAAAATTTGGAATGTTTAATCAATATAAAACTTGGAACAATGTAAACACTTATTTTCATGTATTTATACATCAGATTGTTGGTTGGTAAGAAGTAAGATAATGCTGTTAATTATAGGACTGACAGTCGAAATTTGAATAGCTTTGATTCTGAAATGTTGAAATAAGTCTAACAAATCTAGTTAACTTGTTTTGTTTATGAACTTTGTATCTGAGATCAGCTGATTTTTTTGATAAGCTTCCTTTGATGTGCAGGCTCATTTCTTCTTTTATCTTTCTTTTGTATTTATTATTATTTATATATTTTTTGTGACATATTTACGTATTTCGGTTGGTAATTAAATGTTTTTCATGCTCTTTTTTTCTGATTAGCTATTTGATTTACATTTCTCAGCTGTGTTACCTCACCTTCCTTCCAGTATGTGATGTCATGGAATGAAGATCTTGGATTTGTTTTGTTTTTTGTTCTGATGATGGTTAAATTGGTGAAACATTGATGGGTTACTATATTCTTTACACGCATTTTAGAGACACAAGCCTTTGTTGTTGGAATTTTTTTCTGTCTTTTCGTAAGGTTTTTACTTGTTTAGGTTATTATGACACTTAATTTTGGCTGGCAATTTATTCAAAATTTTTACCTTATACCATAATATATTTGAGCAATTGTGAACCTTGAAAAAAATTGTGTTAATACACATAATATTGAGCGACATGCTAAATTATTAAATAAATTCCTTGATAAAAGTGAAATGGGAAACAACAAAATAAAAAAAAAACTCACAGATAAATTAAATAACCAGAGTGAACACTGTTCTGAAACAAATTAAAAATATATGACTAGTGCATTGGTCTTCTACAACTTGAGTAAATAAACTTTTCAAGTCCAACCTTCACAGTTTTAAGACTTGAAAATGTGTATTCTTTCATGATTTTTGTAAAAACTTGATTGCTTACATAATTTATTAAAGTATTTCAGCTAATGGAGCCATGTATACTGTACTTACAAGTCGGTTACTATATTGCTTTGGTAATTAAAACAAATACATCAGAAAAGTAAACGAATCAGCTGTATCCAGAACTGGCAATTTTATTGAAGAAGCAATATGTATGGTATTTCGTATTTTTTTTTTTGTTGAGATTTTAGAAGTTAACAAACAAATAATTTTTTTAAGAACATTTTGTTATTATGAGTAAAAATTATCTACCCAGAACAACAGCTACCCTTTATTGTTTCCTGGCCTCAGGACTTCTGCTTTGATGGGATCGTGAATGATGTGCACCAATTATGATTCGATTGTATTTGTCAAGTGCCCATTGTAAGCAGAGTATTTGCATGGGTCATGGAAGCATTTTTCCTTGAATTACACATTGACTACTTATGGTGTCAATAGCTATAAATTTTTAAAAATAACAATCTCCTTCTGATTCCCTCCCCCCAAAACTAAATTATTATAAACATAAGTTGAATGTGAAATGAAAGGACTGTAAAAGTAATTATAGTAAAGTTTAGATTCCCAAAAAAAAAAAAAAAGGAAATCAATAAAAATAAATGATAGACAAAAATGAACATGGCACAAGAAACAATGTTGAAACTAAACAAATATATAGCAAGCAATAAACCATTAAGATAACTGCTGCTAGAGCTCCACCACAATTAGTTGACATCTGGGGCCTAAATTTCGTGGCATTAAGTTGAGGACTTAAGATTAAATGTATTTTATAAATAATGAGGGTGAGAGGAGAAAAAAAATGATAGTTTCAACTGAGTGTAACATGAGTTCGCCCTCGGGTTGCTAACTTATTGTGGTCCAGTTACAATTACAATATCACACATTTCAGATTTAGTTATGACCAACCAAAATTAATACCAGTCATTTGATAAAATCTCAGGTTAAATGGTCTATAAAATTCTTTGAGTCTTTCAATAGCTTTTTGATTTATGTATGGATGATTACGTCCCTTAGTTTTTCCAAGACAGTGAGGTCTTGGACGACCTTCGGATTTCATCAGGCACGGAAAACCTTTTGTTGAATTAAAATAAAAATGCTTTTCTGTGACAACTCTCTTCAGTCCGAGAAAATCCTAAAAAATTAATAACAAACAATTTCACATAAAATAAATCAGAATATAACAATCATAATTGAATACAAAATAAAAAAAACTTAATAACTTTTTTTAAGTGATACCACAGGCAACAACTTTCATATTTATGACTACTGTTTCCATTTTAGGTTTGTTATGATTTATGTCTTAATAAATTAAAGGGCAGAGTTTGAAAAAGGCTGGTGTGGAAGTGAATAATAATAATCTCATCTCATTTTAATCTGTTATGAACATCTGTACAATCTAGACAAACAAATCTGTAACTTATAATGTTGTAGGGCCAGAGCTGAATAAATTTGAAGATGCGCCCAGATATATAACATTGTATCATGAGCTAAAGGTGCTATTTCGTGGTAATACCCACAGACTGCCAAGCATTAATGCTTGTGTATTAAACACTGAAACCAATAGCGGATATTTTGTTGCATATCTTTTTTTTTTTTTACATTTTCTGCTGTGACAGCTCTATTGTAACAAATTTATATTTTAAATAGAGCTATAATATATGTGCATGCAATATTGAAATGACACAATTTGTACCGACTGAAGGAACAATGATGTTTCAAATATTTTTTGAAAGAGAAATAAAATTGAGATTGGTATTTCAAATCTCTAGAAAAACCCACAAATAGAAAATTTCTTAATAATCGAAAAATAAAATTTTTTTCCTACACATTTTTGCTGAGTAAGGAAAGTGGATTCAAATATTTGTTTGAGAAAATTTAAGATGGTTTCACATTTTTATTTACCTATAATCCAAAAATCATTGTTTCAATTGGAAAAGCAAATGTATGAATATACAGGCTGTTTCACGGTTAATTGGCCAAACTGCAAAAATGAACTAAGGACCTCAGAACAAGAAAAAATTTCCCTTGAAGGTATGCCCCCAAACGCTTTCTTTAGAAGATATTCGCACCTAAAGATTTTCGTTGTTATGAATTATTTACGTTATATAAAATAAATAAACCTATTTATTTGTTCTATTTACTTTATTAATTAAATGTAAATATTAACATTCATATTAATTGTTGTACAAATTGATTTCCTTGGGCATCTTTCTTCAACAGCGGCAGTGGCAGAACGGCAGTATTAGTGTAAATGGAAGGCATAATGATGAGTACTCTGTGCAAGCCTCTTACAAACTGATAAATGTTATTGAAAGTTCCCAATGCTATAAAGTTCGAAATAGTATTCATCGTTATGTTGCTAATAGTTTTTATACAGTTAGGGATAATAGGCCATATTAGTACTCTATCTAAACCATTTTCTAAAGAAAGCGTTTGCGGACATACCTTCACTTTGAACAACATTTAATATGAATGTTAATGTTTACATTTAATTAATAAAGTAGTTAGAACAAATAAATAGGTTTTATTTATTTCATATAACGTAAATAATTCATAACAACGAAAATCTTTAGGTGTAAATATCTCCTAAAGAAAGAGTTTGCAGACATACCTACAGAGGAAATTTCTTTCTTGTTTTGAGGTCCTTAGTTCATTTTTGCTGATTGGCCACTTATCCCTGAAACATCCTATATAAGGGAAGAAAATAATTTTTGGAGACATGCAAATTCATTTATGTTTTCTTCAAATGTTCAATAATGATTATGGTCGAATTTTGACCACTGGACGGACACTAGTTCTTTGAATCTCGATAAAATATGGTTGTAAGGCCGATATATCGGTGCTTACAACATCAATACCTGTTCAAAATCGGGGGAGGGAAGGAGCAAAATAAAAAAAGGAAGGCGATACCAATATTCGGCGAAAAGGCTGATATAAATATCGGTATCGGTGGATCCCTAATTTTAAATTTTGTCTTCAGGTGCAATGAATGCTCTTAACTTCACCAAACACTTATTGGCATCTGAGGAAGGGAAGTATAGAATTTTATGCTGGCTTGAAACAGATCATCTCATGATGATCAATCAACAAATCATCAAATGATGCAATTTGTATATGTTTGGGTTGCCAATTTCAATGGGCACCACTTTGATTTCATAGACTAGTTAAAATTTGATGTTAAAGATGGATATTATAATATGTCTAAATTCTAAAGCGTTTCGTCCCAGAATAAATAAAAGATTATTATTATTATTATAATGGAATAAGGCTAAAAGTTTTCTTCAATTTACAAAATTTCGACTTAGTTCTAAGACTATCAAGACTAGGAAAAAAAACCCACAATCCCTCCTTTCAAGAGATAATCATTGATCAGAAACACACACACACACTCACTAATGGCTGAAAATATGTTTTTTGGAGTCGGGGACCTTTGAAATATAAAGATCTGTTGGAAGTCACACGTCAATAATTTGACCTGATGACATTATTTTCCTTACATAGTAGCGGTTGTAAAGTAAAATATTAAGCCAAACAACTATTTATTGTTTTATCATGACAAAAATATATATTTAATATATCATAGAACAATTTAAGCAGCGTGTCATCTTGCAACAACCACTCCAGCCCATTTTAAAATGAAAATATAACTGAATAGTTAGGTGTGATCATCGTATTACTCTTAAATGCCCTCTGCTTCCATCAAAAGCCAGGACCAGTTGGATAGATTGATATCATATCAATAGAAGAAGCTCTATCATGTATATATTTCAAATATTTTGTTTAGCTTCTACCATTTTAACAATAGCGAGTTGTTAATCACCAATATACACATTGTCTTGTTAAAAACAATATATTGTTGTCTTGTTAAACACACAATTTCTTGTATAAACAAAATTCTACCTATTCTGTTATATTTATGCTTTAAAGCCAAGTGGGTCTCGTGCTTTACTCTGTCAATACAATCACTCATTACCGAATTATGAGTAAAAAGAAACTTATCCCTTCACTGTTGATCTTATATAATAATCAAGAGTAATAAGAGGTAAATAAAAAAACTCATTACTTGAACTCGAGCCATTTCTGCAGCTGGATCTCTTATCAGTCTTTCTCCACTAACAAACAAAAGTTGTTTTAATGGGAAATACTTCAACCACTTAGTTAAATGTCTTGCATAAACTCCTATTCGAACTGGGCCCCAGCTAGTATCAACAACACTAAATCCTGTACCTTTCACAAAAGCTAAACATTCAAAACTTTGCATAAAACTGCGATTCTTCTTTTTGCTGAAACAAATAAATATATTTCCTCCACAAGTTAAAAAACATGATCTTCATTACATATCATCATATGTCATCACATGAATTACCTAGCTGCTTGAGTATAATCAGAAATAGCTCGTGTGACTGGATCGCGAACAACTATAAGAAGCTTTGTGCTAGGGTTCATTTGTTTCACACGTTGAGGAACTTCTTTTGTAACAAAATAGCTAGGTGTTTTCTCCATTGTAACTTGGCCTTCGAGTGTAGGGGGCATTTTCTTTCTTTTAAAAATAGATACAATAACATAACTAGTATTAAACAGTATAAAAGACAAGTTATCAAGATCTTTATACCTATACCAATTAAATCCTTTATGATAATATTTGTCAAAAAAATGAACTTCAGAACCAGCAGCACGCACATCAGGATGTAACCTCAGAAATTCCAACAAAGCGCGTGTACCAGATTTCTTAACCCCAATTACAAGAGCATCAGGCAATCTCCTTATGGGTTTAAGGCTGTTTTTGCTTATAAATCGATACTTAGTGTTATTACTCTGAAAATAGTTTTAGAACATTTGTTTTGAAACAAATTTCATAAATAAATAACACAAAACTTACACCTTTTTTAGGATTTCTTTTATACCAACCCATGTAATTAGTGGTATCAGTCTAACATGGGTTTCTCCATTATAACCACTGGCAGTATTTTTAGCCTTTTTATTAAAAGTATCCCTATCAAATAATAATGGTTCCTAAATATGAAATCAAGAACAATTAAAAAGATTCAAGGAAGATTATAAGAAATAACTAATACCATCATCTATTCACTACTTACAGCAGAAAAAACACCATGAACTTTACTAAGTACGCAATTATTAAATAGAATTGTGTAAATCACTAAGGTAGTAAAACCGAATACTGCAAAACAAAGCTTTTTATAGGATAAACGCCGAGCTTTTCCATTCCAGAACATTTCCCATTCAAGGGACAACTAATGTCAAGGGGGCATGCTAAGCACATATAACTTACATCTCTATTCAAATAATACATTAATAACACTGCGCAAAATCATAATGTTTACATCTTTGTAACCTTCCATATTGATTGTATATCCAAAGAGCAAAATTAATTGGATTTCATTGGCATAAGCTATTTCATTTATTGTGAACGGTTCGTTAGTAAAAGACAGAGCCCGAACTAAGGAACGATCATTTCTGGAGGAACGTGACGAGAAAACAGCACTAGTGAAAGAAAGATTAGAAACTTTGGGCTGGTTTCGTTGTGTTCTTCTGTCGGGAGAAAAAGGTTTAAACTTATGCCAACTTAGTAGTACATTTGTGCTTAAGGTGAAAAGATTGACATGTGAAAAAGCATAAAGCATAACTAAAGCATTAAGCATTAGTTGTAAATCAACTAATGGTTAAATATCATATGATTTGTAATTTATAAATAGTTCGTTAACTTTTGTCAAATAAAACCTTTCTATAAGAAGCATTTCTCTCATTACAATTTATTTGACAAAAATTAAGAACGGAAAAGTTTATGTAGCTATCAAATAATCTAAGATGGAAAAATACTTTAGACCAGAACGTCCCTCATTGTGCACAAAGAAAGCTCTTTCTGCGCCTCAATGGGTGCATTGGAAGAACAGATTTGAGAACTTTATTTAAGAAATCGTTGCCTTAGAAGAAGGAATTGGACAGAAAAAAAGAAATAGGAGAAAAAAGTTAAAGTTTAGGCTACAAGGAGAGCCAAGAAATAATGATGAACCAAGAAATGGCCCTCACCTGGTCTATATCGCGCATATATATAACTAAAACTATCCTCATGATTACTAGGAGGTTTCATAAAGAAAGAATAAAGCAGTGCATCTAGTTTTTGAGGTTCAAAAAAATTGATTTAGCCGATGTCGCGAGTCTTCCCTTACCCGGCCTACTGCGCGGCGTGAGCTGGGGAGGCTTGTGTTCCTGTCGCAGTTTGTTCCTACTGACTCCGAATTGATTTTCGTAAGTGAAATACATGATGGAGGAAAATTAATTTATAAAAGAAAAATGAACTTTATTCATTCATATGAACAACCTTTTATTCGAGCACAAAAAATTCTATTTTTTTTCTTTCCGGACCCAGTTTTTATTCAGTTCCACTTGAGATGGACGAATTGCAACCTCCAGCAACTATAGTCTGCTTGAAGAATACTTACAATTCATAAAACTGACACGATAATAATTTATATAATTCTCATTAAAAAGAGTTTTTCTTTTCTTAAAATAGCTGCTATTAGGAACTTTTCATGAAGGAAGATACTAATTATTCGGTCTCCGATATGATCGGAATTTATTCTGAGTTTTTTCTCTAAGAGGTCTCATTCCAAAGCTGCAGGGCTTGTGGTAATCTGTCTCAGTTTTTGACAAATTTGATGAAAATTGTCGTTCGTTGACCATGGTTATCGACCATATCACTTAATCAAATTATTGATTTTAGGTACTCGTTCGACGTGCAATTTAACGTTCTTTAATTTCTTAAAGAATACGTTGTTCGCTTCGATGCCGTGTTTAGTAGTAATAAATTTAAAAAAAAAATTAATTATTCTGTTTTTTTTTTGTCTGTAAAAAGATTTCCCTTGGTGACCCATGTTAGCATTTTTGTTTTTTACTTGTCTAAACCCATATAAAACGTGTCCCGTAAGTACAGGGAAATATTTAAAGGAGTAATAGCAGAACTCAAAAGCTACAAAAAGGTTTATATAAACAATGGTTCGATTTTCAGCAGGTAATTAAAGTGATAACTAAAAAAACTATTTAATATAAATAATTAATAATTGCTTCACTGTAAACTAGACAAAATTTATTTTAAATAAAATTAGAGTTTGCAATTGTTAAAACCATTCAAAGAGAACTTTTGAGCAGCTAAACTCAGCTAAGAAGTGGGGGGGAGATGGGTAGAGTGGGGGAAGCACCTGGTACAGAGGTGCGCCTTAGGGATGGGTTGATACTAAAATTTTTGTATCTAGATACAACTGATACGGGTACTTTTTTGTATCTGATACTTTTATCTGATACTTTTGTATCTGATACAAATGGGTCAGTAGTTGGTCATGACCTTCCTACTACTTTTTATCTGATACTAGTATCAGATATTTTTATCTGATACTGGCATCAGATACTTTTATCTGATATTTGTATCAGATATTTTTATCTGATATTTGTATCGGATATTTTTATCTGATATTTGTATCAGATATTTTTATCTGATACCCGCGTCAGATACTTTTATCTGATATTTTTATCTGATACCTGGACTAGATACCCAGCGGTATGCATACTGGCGCTTGGTGTCTAGTCTAGTCTTAGACTTATTAGTTAATATATAGTAGTTCTAATGACTTTATAGTTATGTCAGGTACTATGAAGATATTCACACAGTTTTTAAAACAAAATGTGATTCATATTAGACAAAAGAATGGAATATATTAAATAAAATATAACAAATTCATGCAGAGAACAATTTTTCCTAATACAACGTTCTTAAGAATTTTGTAACAATTGAAAAAATTCTTAATAGCTACGTTTAACATACTCACACACACATATATATTTTTTATTTTCACTGATCAATCTACATCTTGGGATTTAGATTATATAGAACTTGTATAATGTTTACAATACTATTATTGTATTCTTTGAACATATTGAGGTACATAGGTAAATCATTTAAAGTAAATATTTATCCACTCTTTTATTATTATTTTTTTCATTAATACAATGGTATGACAACAAAAGTAATTTGTCGTTCATTTCAAATTTCAGTTAAAATTCCATAGTTTATTGTTTTTAGTAACTATCTTGCTGTATTGGGACCTTATTGTTCATATTATGTCTTTAATATATCAGTATAGTTATGTAAATCCTGTTATTACTTATTTTTTAGTTTTTTTTTATTGTAATATGCATTTTGGCCAGATGTTATGTTAATTTTTATGTACAATATTGTTATTCTCAAGGGACTTTGTCCCAGAATAAAGGTGATTATTCTATTCTGTTCTATTCTATATATATACTTATTGTTTCTGTTTGTATTACAGACCATGTAGATCTTTTGCCACCTTAACAAGTATGCTCAATCTCTGCCTGTCTTGGGCTATTTTTTGCCATTTATCTGCACGCAGCTCTATTCTATCTTTGTTGATTCTATCTATCCATCTGCTTTTTGGCCTTCGACGTGGTCTTTTGCCTACTATAATAAAAATAGCCCAAGACAGGTAGAGATTGAGCATACTTGTTAAGGTGGCAAAAGATCTACATCGTCTGTAATGCAAACAGAAAAAATAAATATATATATAGAATAGAATAGAATAGAAGAATCACCTTTATTCTGGGACAAAGTCCCTTGAGAATAACAATATTGTACATAAAAATTAACATAACATCTGGCCAAAATGCATATTACAATAAAAAAAAACTAAAAAATAAGTAATAACAGAAGGATTTACATAACTATACTCATATATATTAAAGACATAATATGAGCAATGAGGTCCCAATACAGCAAAATAGTTACTAAACAACAATGAACTATGGAATTTTAACTGAAATTTGAAATGAACGACAAATTACTTTTGTTGTCATAATATTGTATTAATGAAAAAAATAATAATAAAAGAGTGGATAAATATTTACATATTACATATTAAATGATTTACATATGTAATTTAATATGTTCAAAGAATACAATAATAGTATTGTAAACATTATACAAGTCCTATATAATCTAAATCCCAAGATGTAGATTGATCGGTGAAAATAAAAGAAATATATGTGTGTGTGAGGATGTTAAACTTAGCTATCCTATAGTGAATATCTTCATAGTACATGACATAACTATAAAGTCATTAGAACTATTATATTTAAAAATGGTGTAAAATATTTATTACAGGGACAAATTTAATAATAAAGGAATAAAATATATATAGGTACATATTTAATTTATGTTTTATTAGGTATCAAATAGGTATTAAAATATCAAACCCGATCAATAATCAATTACAGTTGGATTAAAATATCTGATACAATTATTGAGATATCAAGCCCAAGTGCCAGTATGCATACCGCTGGGTATCTAGTCCAGGTATCAGATAAAAATATCAGATAAAAGTATCCAATGCGAGTATCAGATAAAAATATCGGATACAAATATTAGATAATGGAAAGAAATAGCCCAAGAGAGGTAGAGATTGAGCATACTTGTTAAGGTGGCAAAAGATCTACATGGTCTGTAATACAAACAGAAAAAAAATATATATATATATATATATATATGTGTGTGTGTGTGTGTGTGTATGTTAAACTTAACTATAAAGAATTTTTTTAATTGTTACAAAATTCTTAAGAACGTTGTATTAGGAAAATTCATTTCCTCTGCATGAATTTGTTATATTTTTATTTAATATATTCCATTCTTTTGTCAAATATGAAGCATATTTTGTTTAAAAAATTGTGTAAATATTTTCTTAGTACTTGACATAACTATACAGTCATTAGAACTATTATATATTAACTAAAAAGCCCAAGCGCCAGTATGCATACTGCTGGGTATCTAGTCCAGATATCAGATAAAAGTATCCGATACGGGTATCAGATAAAAATATCTGATACAAATATCAGATAAAAATATCCGATACAAATATCAGATAAAAATATCCGATACAAATATCAGATAAAAATATCTGATACTAATATCAGATAAAAGTATCTGATACTAGTATCAGATAAAAATATCCGATAGCAGTATCAAATAAAAATATCTGAAATTAACATTACATAAAAAAAAAAAAATAAGCGTAAATATATTTATCTACAAATAAATATTTAATTAAATTAAACTAAATGAATAGATAGTTTTAAAAAAATTGTGCACAACTAAAATTATAACTAAACATTTCTCTTATATCAATGTGGCATGTCTGGACAACCATTTTGTATCCATGTGAGCATCAGATACTTTTGTATCAGATACTTTTTGGTTGTATCTACTGGTTGTATCAGATACTTTTTTAGTATCAGATAAAAGTATCTGATACATACAATCCGACCCATCCCTAGTGCGCCTCCTCTGAGAAAATTTCTGGATCCGGCATTGAACAAGGGGTGATGAGCCAGATGTTGGGGGAGGGACGCCTAGATCACTTTTTTCGTTTATATCAGGAACTATCCGTCTCGTCGCCTATTAAATGAGCAATAGGATTGATTATATAGATTTTTTCGCAACCTGGTTTAGTTCCTACTAGCTAGTTCCTAACTGTACTTTGACTAGTACAGTTACTAACTTATACGTAGCTAACTGTTGATTGCTTCGTTCTACTTTAGAAAGTTTTGAACAATTAAATTTTCTTCAAGAATATATATTATTTTACTAGTTTATTTACAACAGTTCAAAAGTTAGATCAATTATAACTTTATATGTCAATTCCGAGAATTTGCATTTTTATTTTGAAAAAAATAATTTTTATATTTGTTATGCATGTATGTAAACGTATATAGAAAGAGACAGCTGAGCTTCATCCCGCAAACTGGAAAGCAGTAGCCGAAGACAGGCAGCCAAAGATCTACAAGGTCTTTAGAGCCAACCGAAAAAAAAAAATATATACATATATATTCTCTAAAGACCTTTGGCAGCCTGTCTTGGGCTATTACTTTCAAGTTTGCGGGATGAAGCTCAGCTGTCTATTTGTTTATCCTATCAATCCATCTGGTTTTTGGCCACCCACGTGATCTCTTGCCTACTACTCTAGCATTAATTGTTGTGTAAAGGCGTCCTGAGAGATTACTTCGAGCTATATGCCCTCGTTGCCTTCATATTATTAGATACTGACTGACCCGTTTCATTCAGCAGTTCTTTATTGTTCTTTCTCTTCCATGTGTCAAAGTTCTAATCCCAGGTGGATACTTTTATTGTACGGAGAACTGTTCTTTTAAATCTCTGTTCTGGCTTCTAATGTGCCGGTTAGAGCCGTTTTCACAATATAGCAGAACTGGCTTGATCGCGGCGCTGTGCACCGTTATTACTTTTAGATTTCTGGTTTTCAGTAACCTTCAAAGGGAGAAGAAAGATCTGGTTGCACTTGTTATTCGCTGATTTATCTCTGTTAGACAAACCCGAGGGGGGAGAGGAATCTCGGGCAGCATGTCTTTCCCTGGTGGACGGTCACCCATCCAAGTACTAGACATGGTGGGCCAGACCCCTCTACCGTGCCCCCCCCCCATCCCTATAAATTGCATATCGTTGTGATCCTTGTAACTATTTATTAAAAAAAAGCCAATGTTCCCGCAAAAAAAAGTGAACAAACTGCCCCAAAATGGTGGTCTGATGACTTTGACTTTAGTTAGTTTTTTGGTCAGAGAATCAGCATTGGGCTTAATTTCGTCATACTTGGTCTTTGATTAAAGCTGGATAGTCAGACAATAAGAAAACATGAAAAAATATTAAAAAATAATTAGTTTAGGCAATAAAAAACAACAATAAAGTCAATTTTTTCAACTAAAAAATTTTCAAGTTGAAAAACAAGCATCGTTTGTAATTAAACGGCCAACAATAACTCCAAATGTGCTGAAATAATACATCTGGGGAATATATTTCTCTTTATAAAACACCGTTTACTTTTAAATATTTGAAGCAGTTACAGAAAAATACACAAAAGCGGTACTGGTGTAGGTGTCTACAAGCCTCTACACCATTCAGTACTCATAAATGGCTTAGTTATAGTGCTATAATACTGTTTTTGGTACATTATATTATTTTTATCAACGAACAAATATTAATACAATAATTTAATTGTGCAAAAAAATTTATGAAATTTTTTTTGTTTTTTTAAATGTGCACGGTAAGGGGGTCTGGCCCACATACAACTAACCATGCTCGAAATTGCTTAAGTTTGATTACCTATTGCAAGCGCCTTAGCCTGTACTATGTATATATATGTATATATATATATATATAATATATATAAACTCACTACCAACTCACAAGGAGAATATAGACTGTGGATCACCGACTTCAACCATTTTTTTTTTTTTATAATACATCGAAAAATACTAGATACATATCCTAGAGTTTTCCAATGGGCTCTAGGAACCGAAAACAAAAAATTAATTTCAAACAAAATTTGTTACTTATTTTTGCCTTTACTTTGTCCGGATTTTTAGGTTACTTTAAATCAATCATTTTGTTTTTTTGTGCAGGATAAGAAAATAAATATTAACTATTGTATTAAAGTAGTTTTAATGTATCATAAATTACAAAAACTAAAAGGTGCTTCCAGTAAGACAGGCCAAGTAAATTTTTATAGCAATTAAAAAATTAAAGTTTTCTGCATGAAATTTTTGCCTAGGCAGGATCCTTCATAACTTCGTCAATAACCACAAAACTTGTGATAAATTGAGAATGGCTCCACCAATTCATAAAAAAATGAATAGGGATTGAGAGCTCTATATGCTACGAAATGGTACAAAATTGATTACCATAAACAAATTACCTAGAATCAAAGATAAAAAATAAAAAAGATTGGGACGTTTTTCTTAACTTCTAATTTAAAAAGAAAAGAATGAATTGTAAAAGTTATCAAAGTGGGCTGGAAGGGTAGTAATTCAGCTTTTCTACAGTTGCACTAATTTTCAATTTGGAGAAAATACTGAGAATTTATGAATGCTTTAGTTAGAGAAAAATTCATATTTCATACAATACATACAATAATCTAATTTTTTTTTATAATTCTGTACAAAAAAAAAAAAAGAAATTGATATAAAATACCCTAAAAATCCGGATAAAGCAAAGGCAAATATAAATAACATCTTTTGTTAGAAATAATATAAAACTTTTTCTTTCCCAGCTCCTAGGACCTATTGTATTTTTGTAATAGTAATATATTGTATTTTTATTTAATTTTTGGTGGAATAAAAAAATTGTTATTAGTACAAGGAATACTGAAAACATTCCACAAAGATTATCTGGAAACTATTGGCTTCATTGAATATGACTAACAAAGAGAGGATACAGTCTGTGGGTCACCGATTTCAACCATTTTTTTTTTTGGTGAAACTACATCGAAAAATATTAGACACATGGTCTGGCATTCATTGAATTATTACAAAAATATTATATTATTAAATTGAAATCCAATTAAAACTATTACTAATTTTTAAAGGGTTATTTGCAACAGAAATATAAACCATATTCTCTCAAGTTAAATTGTATTATGGTCAACAATAAAAAAATCAAATATTCTACTGAAATAAATATTGAAATTAACATTAATCAAAAACAGGTGGTAAGGAAATAGTATCATATATATAAAATCCTATTGTTTCATTAAACGCTATAGTAAAAAGGAATGGTATTTGATCTTGATATTCGGTTTTTAAGCACTGCAGATCTACTGGTGTAGGCAATTCTTCACTAGATCTGTAACAAATATGAAAAATAAATAAAACTAGTATACCTCTGTAAATAATTTATTTAGGATACTGTAAGTGTCCAAACAGTACCAAAATATGGAAATGAGTAAATACAGGCCTGATAAGAAAAGGAGGGACAACTGGTGCTGCAGTCCCGAGACCCCTCTGAAAGGGGCTCGGCCTGATCTATAAGTTTTTTTTTTTTAATTCTATATTTAAAGTGTAAATTCATTTATTATATAATATCTTTAAAAAAACTTTTGTTCCATAAATTGTTAAGGACAAAGTAGGTAACAGTAAATATAAAATATGAGAAGCTTTATTCATAACAAAATATACATTTAAACAATAATAAATAAATAAACAACTAATTATAAATTTATTTTTTACTTTCACATACCTATATACGCAATATATAATAAGGAAAAGTATGAAAAATTTCGAATCTGAGTTTTCAACAGAAATACATTTGAGGTACCTTGGATTCAAATTCAGGCCCTGTACTGGATATGTATCCTTCGAAACTCTGTCGACTATCATAAAAATTGTGACAAATGCAGGATGACTCCACCGCTGCACATGAAAATTAGTAGATATTTGTGGTTCTATATGCTACATGAAATGATACAAATCCAATTTCTAACCACAAATTAGAATCAAAATTATAAAATAAAAATTTTTGAGAAGTTTTTCTTAATTTCTTGCTTTAAAATAAATGAAATCCAAAAGTTATTGATGTGGGTCAGAAGAGCGGTAATTCAGGTTTTCAACAGTAGGTAACAGTAAAGATAAGCTTGTACTAATGTTGAATTTGGAGAAAATCTTGAGAAGTTGCCTCAGTTTGCTGAGAATGCATTTTTTTTTTCCTGTCCCTTTCGTAGCAAAATGCACTGAGGCCATGAAGGCCCATGGTACGCCTTTATTAATGTCACTCTTATTCAGAGCATTCATTATTCCTGCAGTCTCTACAAAAAGAAGTAGGCTTGCTGGATTGACAAGCTCGTTTTTCTAGAATCATTTACACCATCATTGCCGAATAAACGGAATCTTAAGTCATTAAACCTGCCCCACATCCCACAAAATACCCTGTCTTTGCGCATGTGAGTGTGTGAATATAGCCTAGCACAAAAAAAAAAATGTATGAAATTGAAATTACATACTTAATGTAGGTATATACCTGTGATGTTACAGGAACTTTTTCTTAAAATTAGCTAACCAGAAGTGCCAGAAGGTTAATATTTGCTGTAACGAATGTTAAACGTCCGAGGGGTAGACCAAAGGTGGGAAAATTGCATTAAGGCCGATTTGAGGGGAGTAGGTTTGGACGGTGAACGGTGGAGGAAGGTGTGTAATAAGTGAATGATGGTTAGGGGGGTGGGGTGGCCGAACGGGCTAAAGCGTGTGCACAGCACCGCTAGTTGCCTGGCAACCGGATTACAGATTTGAGAAGATTTAAAAAGTACGAGTTCGCGTCCCGGTGCCGGAGGGGATTTTAAATTCCCCGCCCTCACCCTCCGGCCCGGGAAAATCCCTTATAGCCTAAAAGGCGAGGTAGGGAAGAAAAAAAAAAATTGCATGATGGTGTCTGCATCGAACCTTCGGGTTCGCTAAACCTATTATTATTATAAAAAAAAAACCTTAATCCAACCAAGACAACACTTGTTTAATTATCTGAAAAAATGAAGAAAAATTCTTTGGTTAAAGGAGAAAGGCCCACACATATTGGCTGACAATTGCAGAATTAGACAAAACAAATGAAGGGGATGCGAATCCACAAATTCAGATTCATTCCAAATTTAAGAATAATAAAACTGAAGTATTTGACTTATTTTTAACAAATAAAAATAGTTTGAGAAGGAATTAGTCGAGGGTGCGGTCAAAAAAAAAAAAAAAAATTAAAATATATAAATAATTTTAATTTTTTTTTATTTTTTATTTTTTTATTTTTTTTTTATTTTTTTTTTTTTATTTTTTTTATTTTTTTTTTGACCGCACCCTCGACTAATTCCTTCTCATATCATATCAACGGTCAACCAACTCTACATCATTATGAATAAAAATAGTTGTTTAACAAATACAAATATTTGTTTAACAAATACAAATATTTGTTTAACAAATAAAATATTTGCCTTATTACTTAACAAAAATGTAATTGCAAACAGCAGATATAAATCACCAAATTCTTTTACTTACTTTAAAATGATTACTCTGAAATTCGGAAGAACTTTTAATGTTTTTTTAAAACTTGCTCCAGGAAGATAAACATCATACGTAATTTTGATTTTCTTCCTTGTTTTGTTCAAATTTATTGCTTTGAAAATTTGAAGAGCATTCAATACATCACCTGAAAAAAATAATAAAATTGAAAAAAAAGTTATTATTCAATGTTTTGGATAATAACCATAACAATTTATGATTAAGGATCAAATAAAAATAAATAAAATGCAAAAACCATAAAGGGTCTTAGGTGGGTTTGCTTCTTGATAAGAGAGTACTATTTCTTAACCAAAAGCCAGAGAAGCAGGTGAAGTGGTTATCCTCCATGCTCAACGGCTTGGTACCCACTTCCGACATGAGGGATGTGCTTTGGGAGGGCCTTCTGACTCCAGAGTTGGTATAGAGCTGGTATAAGCGCTATATTTTAGTTCAACTATGTCATCAACAATATTATTTAAATTCAAACTTAGTAGGTCCACATTTTATGAAAGAATGATTTAATATGGTTATCAGAAAAGATATGGCAATATGGACCTAAAGTAAAATAACTAGGAAAATGTTTTCAAATGCTTAATTAATTCTTGAAAGTACAAAAAAATAGTAAAAGTGAGCAACAAAGTCTGCTACTGTAAACCAATTATTTTCTTACATTGAAGCTCACACGTTTTAATTTCTTCTCAAAATGATTTTCTGCAGATGAATTATCAAAGCTGTGATATGAAATACTTTATTAATTTTTATTTATTTATATACTTTATAAATCCTTATAAATACTTTATTTATTTATGACAATGCGAGCTTTTCAAACATTTACCAATTTAATTCTTACAAATATTTAAAGTTACAAACAATCAAATCATAAAAAATTTGTAATAAGAAATTAACAATAAATTCAAAGGTGTAAAACATTAAAAAGTTAATATATATATATATATATATATATATATATATATATATATATATATATATATATATATATATATATATTTATAATACTGTTAAATTTGGAATTTCATAGAGGGCAAGATAGAACCTGGAAATAATATAAAAGGTATTCAAAGCAGTATACATTTACATGAATCAGGAATCTCCAAAAATAAAACATGTGCATAGGAATAGAATACAGAGGACAAATAACTCCTTTGCGGTTTACTGTATGGAGTGGTCTTTATGGATATGTCTCATTTAGGTCGGCACAATATACTTTTACGGCCATTCATAGAATTTTGACACTTAATAATAGTCTCTTCCTCACAGTATCCAATTCTCTCATGCCAGTAGTATTGCTTCTTACTTGACTATCTTGATAGTTCCATAGTCTTTGCCACTATCCCTGGTCTCCGGAGTAATAGCTGAGGATGGATTTTCCCTTTTCCTCTTAGATTTTGATAATGAGTCCTCTGCTATCTATCTCCCATCATAGTAGATTCTTTACATTCGAAATCCCATGAAGCAACTCGCTTACATCCAACGTCTATTCAAGCTAGGATTAGTTTAGATCCAATGTGTTTAGTTATTGTAAGATCACCTCAAGCAGGATACAGAATTATCCTCACATTCTACTCACTCCCACCCAACTTTCTTTCTTTTTTCATATGATTAACTTGGTTATCCCAAGCTCTGTTCAATACCCTCTCGCTCTTTTCCAGATTGTTCCTAGGATGAGGTCATCTATTTTTGGATTGCTTCTACAGGTTGCTGAGCCTTGGATGTTATAGGGGTTGTCCCTCCTGTCTTGGCAGGTATTATTGGCAGCTGTCTATATACCTTATCAAGCCATATCATATATTCTTTATCAATCTCAACCTATCTAAGCTCATCCATCCCATTCTTTTCTTTAAAAGAGTAAATAGATTTTGAGAGATCAATATATTTGAAAGTTAGACAGAAAGAGTAAAGTAAGGAAAGAAAGATTACAGTACACACTCAATTGAGATTTCTAGTAATTTTTCAAGATTTATTTTGAAATTCTAATTTTTTTTAAATAAAATTTTTAATTATTTAAACGAAGATAGTGGAACAGAGCTATTTGAATTTTCCTATGCACATTCTGTTCTTGGGGTGAAATTTTCTGGCTTACTATCATATAGAACTTTTCTTAATTTTGCATGTGAATTTGAAGTTTGCACAAATCAACAGAACGCAATTGCCATGAGTAAGTTATTGACCTATTTTTCCAAATTAGAATCCCTATTTTTATTTCTTATTCAGAGCATACATCAAAGTATCTGAAGAATTAACATTATATTTGAATAATACTGTTGGCCATATTATACTACTAAAAGTGCATCAAATAAAATATTTTTTATTTTATCAAATACACGTGATTGTTAGAATACCATGAAAACTTTAATTTTGTTTATGTCGCTATTGTTTTTTCATAGTTAAACTGATTTGTTTTTTAACTCGAAATTGATAATTGTATTTACTAACAACTCTTAAAGTAAAAAATCAACAGGCATGGGAACAGAGTAGGTGCACAAGACAAAACAGAAAAGTATATTTAAAATCAGTGAAAAAAACTCAATATGCTTTAACTTACATGTTATATTCTATTCATTACATCTCATCACAAATCAGCATAAAAACATACCTAACAATCATGTGCCAATTCTGTATTTGATAAAATGAAAAATATTATTTTTGACGCACTTTACACACTTTTAGTGCATGCTAGGCGCAACAGTATAACTCAAACAAGATGTAAAGTTTTCAAAAACTTTGATGTATGTTCTGAATATAAAATAAAAATAGGGATTCTAATTTGGAAAAATAAGTCAATAACTTGCGCATCGCAATTGTGCTCTGTAGATTTGTTCAAAGTTGAAATTTACATGGAAAATTAAGGAAAGTTCTATTCAACTATTTTTCTCTATCATATGAAGTAACCAAAATAAGTGGGGGCACAGACTTTGGAAGATACCCTATGGAACTCCATTCTTGATTTGCTCATTCCGCTTAATTAATATAAAAAAATATGTAATAACAAAAATTTCTCAGCATTAAAATATAAGTAATTTGAGTCCAAATTACAGTCTCTACGATGATCCATCGTCGAGTTACAGGTGATAGTAACTTTGGGGCATCCGCCACCTCCAGCCTAAACTTACCACAATATGAGGTGGAAACATGGAGTTTCCTAGTCAGTAAGACTTCCGGATAAGAATTTGAAGAAACACCGTAGTGCGGATTTTTGCATATTCAATCGCACTCACCACCTAGACTAGGTGGTGAACTATAAGCATGAAAGTATGGAAAGTTTTTATAGTAAAGAATAATTTAATAAGCTTGACACAAATTCTTAGTTGTATTGAATAATAAAAGATGAATACGAATTTCCTGCGAAATGTGATTTTTTAATTTAATTTTGTCTGATTTATTGAATAATTATATATCATCCAAATAAAATACAAAGTAAGTGATGCAAGTTAGGTGTTTACTTGAACAATAAGTCCTGACTTCAACTCTTCCTATACAATGGAAACTGAAAAATTTGTGTTTAACATTGTGACAGAGTAATATTGGAGCTATTTAAGTTGTGAAATTTTCTTTCTCACTATTTTGAGTAATATGGCAAGATAGAAAGTTTCTTAAGTTGGATAAGAAACATGATCAATAAAAATATAAGTTAAAAACTATACTACTGATCAAAACACAATATTTAGCTTCTGTTCTAGTTTTGGCCCAAAAGTGAAAAATATTTAGGTACTGACATTTTTTATACTTATTTTTCTTTTTATCAAATTACAATACCACAAAATGGCAACCTTTGCCCAGCTAAGCACTTTGACATGTACGAGTTAAGTTGGACATGGTTGAAAATTCATGAATATAAATTTTAGCTGAACCAAAGTTTTGATTGATGTTTAGCCTAAAACCAAAACAATAGCCAAAATTGAAACTTCTTTAAGTTTGTACTTTCTATAAGTCGATACTTTAAACAAATTAAGTTTATTTGCATGCATAGATGTTTGTTCCATATACATAAATATGACCTTACCATAATTACTACAGTCTTCAAACCGCAATATAGTCTCAGAGTCCCCTTCCTCAACACTTAACTGAGAGTCATCAGCATTTTTATATTCCTCCCAACTCGTAATTTTATTATCAAGATTACTACTTGTTATATTCACTATTTCTTTGCAACTGTTTTTAATTAAAATATTATTTTCTGATATGGTTTCTAATTTATTCTTTTTACACAATTCTACATCAGTTCCAATTGAAGCTTGATCTGTACTGTCACATGAGCTTTCTTGGACGTTTTGTTCATTTCTTTGCTCTGTAGCAATGTTATGACTGTCCTGTATTTCAGAGTTTGCTACTTGCATATTATTTTCTTCATTGAGTTCTATATTTTTAAAAGTATTATTTGAATTAGTAGTATTTTGTTTATTACTATTTAAAGTTATTTTAGGCTCCAAATTTCTACTTTCCTTATTCTTTTCAGAAGTTGGTGGCATTCTTAATGAACTTTTTTTATCAATTTCATATTGTGAACTGTCAACAACCTCATCAATTTCAATGCAATCAACCAAATCACAACTCTCTTCTTTAATATCATCTTTTTTATTAACAATCATTTCAGAATGTTCGTAATCATTAGATTCAATAGAAATATCTATAATCTTTTCTTTTTCTTTTAAATTTGGTTCTTCTAAAAACAATGAGTCATGATCACTTTCAGTTTTTAATTTTTTAGAAGTGATATCACAATCCATTCTCTTTCTTTTAGAATTGTTAAGTTCAACGGTGAATGAATCTTTTTTAATATTTGTATCATCATCATCTGAAAGCACAACAGTTTCCACTTTGATTTCTGAAGAAAAATCCTTGGTAGAATGGAGATCTACACCATAAGAATTATTAAAATCATTAAATCTTCTAGCAAACCTTCTCTCACCAATTTTTTCATAAGGGTGTCTTCTTCTCATTGGTCTAAAATTTCTTCTAGGAAAACGAAAATAAGGCCTTTGTTGTTGAAAATCTCTAAACCTTGGATGAAATCTCGTTTCTTGGCTTCTTCTATCTACAAAATTCCAAAGTTCATTCGGATTTTGAGAACTTAAAGCAGACATCAACGTACTAGCAGTCTGTATCATACTCACTGCCATAGCCTGCATTTCTTCTGCCTTTCGGAAGAGAGGATTGGTCATTAATTCAGGATTCATATGTGAACTATTAGACATGTTAGTGAGGGGCATCCTAGACACTGGGTTGTAATGAGGTTTAAAATTATTTGAGACACGATAATCTGATCGAATATTTAAATTAACTTTATACTCTGAATATTTTGGTACTATATTAGAGGGTAATAGCCTGCTGTCTGGAGAATGTATAACTGTGACTCCATTTACAGCACTAGGCAAAAGGGATAATACTTCAGCTTTTGAAAATTTAATTAAATCTAACTTATTATGAATCAATTGTTTATAATCATTAGGGGAGTCATCACTGCACAAGTCTATAACTTTTTCCATTGACCTTAAGAGACACTGCTTTATGTTAGGATACCATAACTGACAATGTTCAGTAGAAGTGTAGGAAGGTGAAGAAATGCATATAATATCACTTGAATCATCACTGCTATCCAATAATTCCTCAATAATTGAGTTGTGGTCAATATCATCTTCAATTTCTATAACTTCATTATTAGAAGTACTTTGTTTCTCAGAGTAATCACCAGTTTCTTTTTCCGGTGAATCACATAAAATATTGATTTCATCAATTATCATCACTTCATTGTCATCCAACTTAACTGATGAAGTACTAGGTGGGGACCTTTTAGATTTTTGCAGAATTGTATCAAGATTAATCCTTTGTTCATAGGGAGTAACAGTGACAGAAGGAGAATGCCTTATTACCCGCAATCCTGCTCTGCAAAGGTAGGAATATACTCTATATTCATCAAAAGAACACAATTCATCCTGGAGCAATATATCATAACATTCTTCAATACTTGCGCTGACATTGTTCAAAATCAGTTCAAGTTCACACTAAAAAAAAAAAAAAAGAAGAAATAAAATATTTCCTATTATGGACAGATAAACAAATCAAATATCTCATAGTATAAAAATTACAACAATGAAATGAAAAAATAATTTTATTGTGGGACTACTGTCCCCTAAGAATAATAACAGAGTTACAAATTTATGGGTTTTAGTCTGATATAATAATAAAAATACAAACTAATTTACTGTTAATTGTTTTTTCAATTATGCAATAGATTGAAACTAACAGTGTACAGATGCAAGTAATTTTACATGTTAGGGGCAGTTTGAATGTGGGGTAGGTGGTGGAACGGGAGTTGTTTGAAGGAATTTGTGGACGAGGATTGGCACATGGAGGTAGGAAGTGAGTTCCATAAGGAAGCAGCACGAATGACGAAGGATTTGCTGAAGGAGGAAGTTTTATGGGAGGGGATATATAAGTCTATAGGTTGAGACCTAGTATTGAGAGAGTGGATAGAAGACCATAGAGTAAGGAATTCCAGGATGTAGGGAGGGTTTTTGGTTCTGAAGACTTGGAAAAGGAAAACACCAAGGAGGAATTGTCGTTGGGAAATAGGATAAAGCCACTTCAACTAGGTGTACCAGAGTGAAACATGTGAATGCCTGGGGATCCCGAAAATGTATCTTATGAAACAATTGATGAGTCTCTTCAGTCTCATTTCCAGGCTGGCAGATAGCCCTCCATACACCAAACAGCCGTAGTCATGAAAATAATATACCATGTCATGGTATAATACAATTTTGGTTTATATTAGTGATGAGTCCTATAAAGTTATATTGCACTTCCTCATTTAATATCTTGTATTAATACTGAGAAATAGCAGAAATATTTCATTTCCATTTAGTCCCACAAGTTTTTAGAAGGCAATAATTTATAAATTTTCCCTTCGTAGGAAATTTTCTTTTTAAGAATAAGAATCAGGTCAAGAATAAGAATCAATAGTCTCCACCTGCCTTGTGGATGAAACATTTCCACCCCTCTCCTCCCATGATTGGCATTTTATGTCAATTTTCCTCATTTAACTTTGAAACCATTCGTTGGACAGAAATAATGAATAAGAATAAAAAAATTCTATATTAAAAGTGTTCTATTAATAATTTGGCTAGTACTTATCAATTTAAATTAAATAGCTTTTGAAGTTATTATTATAAAGAAAAATTATTATTGAGTATGAAATAAATTTTGTTCTTCAAAGTGCCTGCAAACCAGCCTAGAAGATACCACCTTTAAACATACATAGAATGGAAGTAGAGTAGAAATGGGACTCGTTATCAATTAAAAACAAAAATATTTTATTTTTTTCATTCATTGGGCAAAAATAGGTCAGATTGGACAGCTTGATTACCAATGCATCATCAGGTAATATATACAAAAATAACTACAATTAAAATTCAGTTTTAAAACTTGATGAATTAATAAATTTTAGAACCTCATAAGATGATTAAAAGTTGCTTACATTTTCAACCAAGAAGAGAACTTCTTCAGGTAGTAACCAATCTTCATTATCTTGATGGTGTCCTATAGTTTCCCATTGTTTTCCAATTTTTTTAAGGACTTTAGCTTTTCCTAGGGACGGAATCCACTCAGCAACAGATAAGCTGTTACTGTAAATTTAAAATAGAACAATGTAAATAATATGATATAATAAACAAAACAATCATGAATGATTCAAAAAGAATAAATGTAATCTATTAGAATAGTGTTTAAAAATAAACAAACCCAAGATTTCAAAACATTTCCAATTTAATCTATACATTATTTTATATATATATATATATATATATATATTACTATATGTATATAGTTTTATATATATATATGTATATAGTTTTATATATGTATATAGTTTTATATATATATATATATATATATATATATATATATATAAAACTATATACATATAGTAATATATATATATATATATATATATATATATATATATATACATATATTCCACCCTCCCATGCCACTATATCAATACGGGTGTTTGTAATAGTGTGTTATTGGGCATGAATGCTTAATAACACAACTACTATTAGTTTTTATTTATTTATTTACATTCCACCCTACCTTGCCTGATGGGCCATACGGGCGTTTGCAATAGTGGGCTGTTATGCATGACTGCATAACAGCATACTAATGCAAGTGAAACAGTTTAAAATATATCTTCGGTGACGTCTTATCAAGGGTGTCCGTCTTCCGGCGGTCTTCTTGGTGGTGGTCCTCTTCTCCGTGCTCCGATGTTGAAGTGGGCTGGACCCACTGCCTCCTTCCAGTCATAAATAAATTTCTTGAACCGAGGGAAGTTCTCCTTACTTACCAACTGAGGAAGTTCATCCTCTGTTAGGACGTAAATTCCTGCCGTTCTCATCATCGTTGCCCTTATTCCTTCAAATGCAGTGCAGGCCGTGACCACGTGCTCGACAGTCTCCAGAACTCCACAAGTGGGGCATTGGGGATCTATGTCCTGGCCAAAGCCATGTAGCTTAGCTCGAAAAGCCCCATGCCCCGTGAGGAACTGTGAAATCCAATAGTCCGGGAGGATCCATTGTGCATCTAACCGCGACTGTACGGTGGGGAAGTATTTTCTGAGAGTACTCCCTTTCGGGGTAGCAACCCACCGACGGCTCCATTCCTCAATCGTATCCTCCCGGATTATCTTCTTCCATTTGTTGGGACTTTCCACAATCCTCACCCGTAGATTTTCTGGAACTCCAGCCAAGCCTTCTTTCTTGTATTTATGCTTGGTCACATCTTCTTGCAGGAGGAGGTCGAGAGGTACCGCCCCCGCTAGGACCTGCACTGCTTCATGTGACGTCCTAAATGCTCTGGTGACACGCAACAGGGCCATCCTCTGGATCGACGCCAACCTTTTTCGCTGTCGCTGTGTGAGGTTCCTATACCAGGAGGGAGATGCATACCTCAAGATACCCAGCACAACACCTTTATAGATCGTCATCGTTGCGGGGTATCTGAGGCCCCTGAATGCACCCCCAACACGACTGAGTCCGTTCAAGGCTTGGGTCACCTTAGTTGCTAGATAATCCAAGTGAGGTGTTATATTTAGGCCTTTTCCTAACCTTACACCAAGATATGTTACCACCTCACTTGGGCGTATTATTTGACCTTCTATATCCATGCTAATGGGGTGTGCTCTATCAGTCGTGCCTTTCAAGAGGATGGCTTGCGTCTTTTCAGCAGCCATACGCATTTTCTTTCCCTCACACCATCTGGCTACAAGGTTGGCACATCGCTCTGCAGCTAGTTTGATCCCCGCCCTGCTGTTGGATGCCACCACAGCAGCTAGATCGTCAACATAGGCGGTGGCAGAGAACCGCTCATTTTCAAGCACTCCTAGCAACTCATCAAAAACCAGCTTCCATAGAGCAGGACCAAGTACTGATCCCTGAGGGCATCCCCTCTCTACGGAAGCTTCTATCTCATAATAGTAATAGCTGCCTTTGATGTTCACTCGCCTGTCCTGAAGATAGCTCCTTACGAGGGCATATAGGTTGCTGGGAGCGTCATATTTTTGCAGCTGCTGGAGTACGCAGGGCCACCATAAACTATCAAAGGCGGAGGATATATCAAAAAGGAGCAGCATGACGTATCGCTCCGCCCTTTCTTCAACATCTCTGCGAACTCTCAGCAGAGCATCAGCGGTTCCTCTGCCTCTGGTAGAGCCGTATTGCCGTGGATGGCTTGCTTGATTGAGAACTGGCCGTAACCTGGTCATCATGAGGTTCTCCAGGACCTTACTCATCACAGGGAGGAGACAAATTGGTCTATATGACTTAGGAAGTTGTTTATCCCTGCCTCCTCCCTTGTAGAGGAGTCTCAAATCAGCGATCTTCCATTTCCTGGGGAAGTATCCCCTATCTAAACAATCATTAAAGATTCCTAAAAGTCGCTCTTCAATATAGGAGATACTGTTCTTTAGGATCGCTGCATCTATAGCATCAAGTCCTGGAGCGCAGCCATTCTTTTGCCTACCCACGGCAATACGAATATCATCTGCGTCCCATGGTGAGCAAAAGTCAGTGCCTGGCGGGTATACCGTGGTATGTCTCACAAAATGTTCCTCTTGGGTGTCTAGAGATGGGTCGTCCTTGGGGTAAGTCGCTTTGACGAAGAAATTAGCGGTCTCTTCTAAGGTAGTAGCATGGACATCTTCATGCCTCATCGCCGCTATCGTTTGCAGCGGAGTCAACTTGCCCAGAGCCACCTTATACGGAATACCCCAAGGATTCTTTGAAGATTCTTTGACGATAAAATCGTCCCAAGACTTCCGCTTTCGTGAACGAACCTCATTTCGGTATACCCTGGCCATGGACTTATACTCGTTACGAAGTGCAGTGCGCCTCTCGTCGCATCTGCACCTCTGGTACGACCGCCGTGCCTTGTAGAGGTCTCTCTTCATAGCTGTTAAGGCCGGCGTCCACCACGGGACAGGTCGAGCCCTCGTCTTCCGGTGCTGGAGGGAGTTCTCGGCAGCATCACGGATGGCATCAGTAATCCTTGATACCCTGTAGTCTAGGTCATCGGTGTTTTCTGAATCCTCAACTTCCCACTCTTCGTCGACCATTTCACCCTCCATCATGCACCGAAAGACATTCCATTCACTTCTTCTGGTCAAATAGCCCTTCACGTTGCCATAGGAACATCCTGGATCATCTACCAGGCCAAATGCAATCGCATTGTGGTCCGAACTCGTCTCTGATCTGAGTGTCCAATCGAAGATGTATCTAGATAGCGTTGGTGAAGCTAGAGTGATATCTATCCAGCTCTGCCCTCTACCTCCAGAGAAGGTAGGTGTAGCAGATGGATCATTTATCACCACCAATTGGTTTCTAGCAATAAATTCACCCAGCTTGACGCCTCTTCTGTCTGTTCGATTGGACCCCCAGACCGTGTTCCAGGAGTTGGCATCTGAGCAGACGATCACGTTTCTTGTACCTTGTAAGATCGTTTCCATGGCGGATATATCCTCTTCAACATCTCTTCTATCGTGCATGTAGGCAGATATCAGTGTAAAAGCAATCCTGCCCCATCTTATGTAACATACAGCACGGTCCGCCATGGTATACTGCCTCAGTTCCATCACGTCAAGGTTGGGGTTATTGATAACTATAGCAGCCCTGGGCCTCCCCTCTCCACTGCTCAAGGCTATAACCCTTGACGTGAGGCCAAACCCCGTGACCATGTTCCTATAGCAACCTGGTTCTTGAACCGCGAAAATGTCATAGCGATGGGCTAGAGCTCGTAGCTCATCAGACACAAGACGCCGTCGGCCCATATTAAGTTGTAGGATAGTAATCTTGTTACTCATACTTGGTTCTCTTCGCTAGTTCTTGGGTCTTCTTTAAATGGACTGGGCAAGTTTGACAGCCCGCTTGGTGCTTGGCCAGGTGTTTCTGTTTCCCTTCTCGTACACAATTCGCACAAATCGGTTCTGCCCTTTCCTTCTTTCTTGGGCACTCCTTAGCTATGTGACCTGGGCAGGCACACCATTTGCAAACCAGAGAGTCTGCTGTGCAGGACGCCTTAGAGTGGTCATATCCCAGACACTTCATGCAGCAAGGAGGATCTATATAATCTTTAAAGTTCAAGGACCACCATCCTCCATCAATAACTGATGTTTGTATTAGGCCAAATCTTATCATCGGATGAACCTCTATCACCCAATTCCTTGTAAGGCCTCCTCTTGCTATTGAAGAGAAACATGCCTGGACACACTCCTTTCTTTCTAGCCCAATGGGTATTGTCTCCTGAGGCAATCTTCCCCATATTACCATTTCCAATTCAGATGCGGTCCAAGAGTGAGGTGCTCCCCTTACCTGCAGTCTAGGCTTTCTCCTCAATGCCATCTTAGTTTCTATCCCTTTCTCTAGTAACTTTTGGCACTGTAAAAGCTTGATGGCTTGATTTTCATCTTCTACGCGTACGAGAACAGCACCAGCCTTGGTTGTACGGATCACTTTTGCCTGTACTCCTAGTTCATTCGGAGATGGCAATTCGCTGACAATTTCTAGAGCAGATTTCCCTCCTCTAGCCATTGTAACAAACGCATGCCGCGATGCATTTTCCTTAGGTTTAATCGGTAGCGTTTTAACTATGTCCGCCATAGTTTTCTTTGCCGGGGAACTACTATTAGTTAACTGAGCAAGGATATACACACAGCTAGCAGTTCTTCCTTCTTGTTTATCGTTTTCGGTCTAGCTTTCAGAATCTGGACGTCTTCCTGGCGCTTGTCCTTTTCTTCTGCGGGTCGAATACGTAAGTGAGCTGGTTCCACCGTAATCATCCATCCATTTATGAATTTCTTGAACCACAGGAAATTTTCCTCACTGACTAATTGAGGAAACTCATTTTCAGTGAAAATATAAATTCCCGCAGCTCTTGTCATAATCGCTCTTAACGTTTCCAATGTGGTGCAGGTGGTGACCATGTACTCTACAGTTTCCGGAACACTACAGGTTGGACATAGAGTATCTATATTAATACCCAGACAGTGAAGTTTAGCTCAAAATCCTCCATGCCCAGTGAGGAACTGAGAAATCCAGAAGGAGGATCTACTTTGCCTGAAGCCTTGACTGTACCGTGG